GATAGCAGAAGACACTGTTTCATTATTAGCAAGATTATCTGTTTCATTATTAGTAAGACTCTGTTTCATTATTATTAGAGCGCGGTATTCGTATATTTTTTTTTTTTTACGGTATGTAATAATGTCTATCGTTTATCTTCGTCACAAACTATCTACGAACGGCAGTTAAAACATTTTTTTTTTTTATTTTTACAATAATTATTTCCTGACCACAGCTATAAGCAGTGATTCAAGTTCGAGCAGGCTAGCACCGTACGATGCTGCACGCTGCTCGGTGCACACAAGTGAGTACCGATTACGTCACGCGTCCGTGTGCGCTTGGAATGCATCACTGGCTATAAGAATTTTAATTCTAGAAATAAATTATAGTTTATGAAATATAGCTATAGCCTACTATTAATTAGATCAGTGCTCGGAATTAGTTTCGTTTTTCAAGCAATTCTCGAGGTTGACGTCTCCTTTCTTCTAACATTGAATTGAATTTAAAAATTGTTTAGTCAATAAACGTATTTTACGAATTTTTGTAAGACGAATTATATTTCGTTTTTTGACACAGATCCGATGATAGACACGTGGCCTCTAATGGGATCTCCATATCCTCTATTGTGCATTCTTGTGACATATTTAATATTTGCAATAAAAACTGGACCAAAAATAATGGAACAAAGACCAGCTTTCCAACTTAATAGAACAATGATTTTATACAATGGATTTCAAATACTTTTCAGTGTCTGGTTAACAGCTTTGGTAAGTATAATATTGTGGTTCTGCGCGCGCGCGCGTGAAATCTGTTAATGTTTAATATTAAACTACACATCAATTACTACATCATTTACTACACATCAAATTATTCTATTTGATTCCTTTACATTCAGTTTTATTTAAATTTAGATAGTTATGTCAAAACGTTAACTTCAATTAATTAATTTTTAACATGGTATTGAATTTATATAAATATATACATATTAATATATTTTCCAGTCATTTACACAATAATTATATTATTTAATATTTATTTTG